ATCGGTTTACGGCAGTGGCTGAAGAGCTGTGGAAAGGAAGTGAACGAATTCTTTATTAGTGAATTGTGGTTGCTTGTTGGCTTGTTTCTTTATGGGCTTAATCTCTTCATAACCAGATATTACACAGTGTTTTAACGGGACAGTCCTGGGCACATTTCCCACAGAAAAACTCCGGAGTAACGGCAGTTTCTGACAGCGAGTAGCGGTAACCGGGTTCCAGCGACCCCGAGCACAATGCTGCTCACAGTGTTTTGTGCACCGAGAGACCGCTCGGAAACCACTTTCGCACTCGACGTGTCCCCGGAGCTTGAACTCAGGGATTTTTTGGCTCTTTGCGAGCTAGAATCAGGAATACCAGCCAGGGAGATTCAGGTAAACATCTTTCAAAAGTGTTGCAACAGTTAAAGTTATTTAGCCTCTATGCTAAGCGACCTGACTAAACAAATTAGTGCCAAACAAGCCGGCAGGTCCATTCTATTAATAGCATACTGAGCCTCTGTCAACACTTCTGGAAAACCTCAGATTTCGAAAGATTAACAGGCCATAGCTGTATTTGTTTGTTTGCTAAACACGAATCATATCAGGAAACTGTAATACACGGAATTGTGCACTGTTAAGCATGGAAGCCACATAACCATTTCCACCACATAACAAAAATAAAAATCATGCTTTCCTAAATCATAATTATGATGTATATTGACGTAATTATGTGATCAATAGTCAAAATGTTCACACTAAGCCTAAGTTGTGAGATAAAATGTCATTATGTCGAACTTTTATGCCAAAAGTGGCTTTTTCTGTCAGAATTATTACTTTTTCTGTAATATTTTTATTTGTAATACATTTATGTAATAATTGTGACTTGGTGTCTCATAATTTCGACTGACTTTTTATGTAAGTTAGTCATCGTTTTATTGTCTCTCTCATAATTATGCTTTACCAAAGCGTGATTGTTTTCTTATGTGGCGGAAATGAACTTCCATAGTTAAAGCAAACATGACAGAGACTTTATTTGATATAGGTGTGTCTTGGTAGCAGATGAAACTTGTTGAAAATTGAAAGAGAAACTTTTTCTGTATGCCTATTTAATGGTGCATGAATTGAAACTGTAAGATATAATTTATTACACATAGTGTTCGGTACTAAGACATTTGTAATTGTGAGTTGGTATATTTTAGACTTAAAATGCTCACAATTTTCATAGCTGTTTTGAGAAAAAGATAATATACTGTGTTTTCATATATTGAACAGAAATAATGCAACCTTTGCTCTACAGATTTCATATGCAGAGCAGCCTTTACATGATCCCACCCGAGCCCTGGGGAACTATGGACTGAAAGATGGAGACGTGGTAGTGTTACGACAAGCAGAGAAGTTACTAGGGCCACAACCCACAGTTCCTGGTAAACCAGCATAACTTGATCTTTTTTAAAATGGATCAACGTGAGCTTATGGCATTAATCATAGTGAATCTTAAAGGGGTCATATGATGCGATTTCAAGTTTTCCTTTC